TGACGTGATCTGACTTGTGTTTTAAAGGGTTGCTCTGGCTGCAGTGCGGAGTGTCAGAAGGGAAAGGCGGCAGCAGGGAAACCACGTAGGAGGCTGTTGCAGGAGCAAGAAGGGGGCGCTGAGAAGCGTCTGGCCCTAGCTGTGATTTGATGGTAGAGCTGGCGGGCTCTGTGTATAGACGGCACGAGGGGTGTGAGAAAGAGAACAACCAAGGGCGCCTCGCAGGTTTTTGTCCTGAACGGAGCCACCATTGACTTAGATCAGGAATCACGAGGTAGGGCAGGCCTGGGCCAGGGTATTTAGGAGCACGGTTTGGGATGTGTGAAGCCTGCCTGTTGGACTTCCCAGTGAAGTAGCAAATGAGCGGTTGGATGCAGGAGTCGAGTTCAGTGGTTGTCAGTGCATGGGTGGTATTTAAAGCCATGAAATAAGGAAGTAACATAGAGAAAAAAAATAGCTCCAAGAACTGGAGCTTGGGAGACCCCAAAATGTGACAGTTAGAAAGATGAGGAGGAGCCAGCAAAAGGTACTCAGATGGAGATGCCCGTGAGGGAAGGAAGAGAATCCTGACAGGAAGCGCTAGATGCTGCCAGCAAGTGACATAAAATGAGGACTTAAAATTGACCTTTGGATTTAGCAATGTGAACGTCATTAGTGTCCCTAAAAGCTGCTTCCATGGAGTGTGGAGATTTCCAACAAAGTTGGAAATCTAATGAATTCATACAATCCAGACTCACTGCCTTGCAACAGATTAAATCACCCAGGAATTTAGAGGAAGCTTTAAAGCAACTTATATATATGATCATTCTTGATGGAATCCTCTGTTTACCCACGAGGTAAGTTTTGTATGTTGCATTTTTTTCCAATGGAGAGGAGAAAACAAACAGCAAAGATCAAATATAGAGGATATTTTCTGGTAAGTTATCATTGAATTTATTAAATGGCTTCATAGAGGTTTTTCAGTCTTACACGTGTCTAAAACTTACTTCCACTATGTTCAGTAATAAACTAAAATCAGAAAGTTTTTTTTCTCTGCAGACATGAACGTATTCACACCAAGAAAGGTAACTTCAACAGATCTCTAATTTCCAGGCTGAAGGATGTAGATGATTTAGCAACCCTAGAAGTTTTGGATGAGGTAAGAATTCACTTTAATTAAACTTAAACATCTAGATTTTTTCGATTTTTTGTTTTAATTCATAGACTATGTGGGCAGGGATTTCTTCGAATGACATCTGTAAATCTCATGCTTTCTTTGTCTCTTAGCTTCCAATTATCTCTCTTATCTTCAGTTTTAGTAAATATAACTCAAATATCCAGATCTTTCCAGTCTAGTGTCAATTTTTTTTTTTTTTTTTTTTTTGATGCTCAAGTGACAAAGATATGAGGTTCCCCAGCAGGATTTGTTAGGTCACTCATCTTTTTTGTCCTTAAGTATTTCTGGGAGACTCAATGGTATGATTTGCTATGTTCAGAAAAACAGTGTCCCCCCGACAACCACCATGTGTCAGCCTCCCCTTCATCCTCTCCTGTTCCAGCTCTCGGTGGCAGGAGCTGGGCGCCTCTGTGCTCCCTCGAGAACCTTTCTGGGCCACAGTCAGTGTTCCCCTTTGTGGAATCACAGAGCCCTGCTCTCACACAGCCTGCCTTTCAGGGCATTGAATTCCGTGTGGAACATGTCATTCCAGTTACCTTGGAAGTATGTCAGACGTTTCTTGCGAAGGTACAAACCCAAGCCACTAAGTTGTAGTTTCAGTCTCATTTCCCCTCATCTCTCTTATTCCAGATAGTCAGATCACCAGAAAAATGGCCTCTTGTCAATAAAACCCTGGGACTTCTGTCCTGCCTAATTGACAGCTTTTTCTTTATTTTTTATGTCAGAGTGTTATGGGGGTACAAATGTTTTTGGTTACAAGGATTGCTTTCGTAATGCTTGAGTCGGGGTTGTAAGTGTGCCCGTCACCCGGAGAGGGTTCATTGTGGTTAGCTTTTTATTTTTTAATACTTCTGATCCATGCCCGAGCATTTTATTCAGAAATGCAACAAATTAAGAGCCATGTTCTGAACAGAAGTAGTCATTCAGTAAATTTAGGGTTGCAAAAACAACTCAAGTACTTCCTCAAAATAGTCTCTCTCAAGAACACCAAACATCTCGAAATCAAATAATGTTTTCCAGTCAGAGATTACAGACACCTTCCTGAGTCCTTACATTTCAAATTTTCCAATCATGTGAGCTTTTAGGCATGTGGATTATAAAGAAGCTTCCACTAATCATGTTGCTGACCAATATATTAATATTTTAAATATTGGGTTTGTTTCTTTCTGTTTTCCGTGTTTTATTATTTGTTTCTTTTTGGACCTAAGATTTTTCTTTTTGTTCCTCTCTTGTGTCATGTACTATAAAGGACAATTTCTGACCCCACCAGAATTGATTCATGTACTTGTGTGATTTATCAACTATGAAAGTTACTTTTCTGGATTTTTCAATCTGCCTCATA